CATTAAAAAAAAATCCAAAAACATTCCTAGCTGTAAAGTTTTTCTTTCTACTTTTTTTCTGATACACGCGAGTAATTGCCTTTTCGATAAACTGCAAGTTTCTTATTTCATCATTACAAACGGCTGTAGATGTTTTCTATTCAAAAAGAGAGTTCCTAAAATAGGTAGCTTATTATATATGGAGAGACCTTTTCCCAAACTCTATAATGACTTATCGCCTGAACGAATTATAGTACACCTACTACTTATTGCCAGCTTGCATACTCGTTTACGCCTCACAATTTAAGGTGTGAAATAATATTTTCTTTGTTTTGACTTCTTCGGAGTAATTAAACTTTTAGTATTCCCAGTGTTAAAATAAATTCCTAGTAAGTATAAGCTTCAGAAAATGGCTGTCGTACTCTAAGCATGTTGACAATCTCTTTTCATTGACTGTTAGCAATTTCAGTGAAAAGAAAAAAGAAAACCCAAAAAATTGAGAGAAGCTGTAGATCATTCCAAATGATATTATGTATTAATAATCAACATGTTAGCAAACCGTTGTTCACCAATTTCAAACACCCCAGAGACTAAAAAAAAATAGGTAAATTAGTAAAATCAAGTGCTGCATTTTGATCGAATTTCAAAGAGACTTTGTTTTATATATGAAAATGTACCGAGAGAATTTGCCCATATTCCGATTGATTTATGATTCGAATAAATTATGACACATCTGATTAATGAAGCCGGCTAGGGAAATTTCTGCAAGTGCTTGCGATATAATATTCTATTGTAGATAAAAGTATAAAACTTCCAAGAGACACTAAGTTTTGAGCATTCTGCATTGAGTAATGCTTAATGCGGGTTGGATTTCGGAAAAGCAAATTCATCTTATAGGAACGAAATTGAAATTTAACAAACTTTAGCACCTTAAAGCACTTAACGAAGTTCAATTCTGAAGAAAATCTTTACCTGAAGTGAAAACAGGTGCTTACTACTTAAGAATTTTTTCTAGCACATTAAATGAATTTTTTTCTCATCGTAAACCAGTGAGAAAGTCAGGTTCTGGGAGGGTAGTGGGCGCTGAGGAGACAACTAGCGTTTTATATTTGATTTCCTGGATTGTCACCGATGCCCCATCTTTGACCCTCGTCACTACCAAGCAGGTGGATATTTAATGCATGAGATACGTAACCCAATAGTGCTGTTACGCCAGTTATGAAAATGTGACACAACAACAAAATATCAACTATACATGTTTATGACTTCCTATTTACTAAGGAAGAGGTCTTCACACGTTGACATCTCAGTCGGTACGTCAAGTTACAAAATAATTACCATTTGAGCATTACTACATTACTCGGCTCTTTGCGGCTTGCAAGTACGGAAGATTTTAAAAACAGAACAATGCTAACCAGCCTTTATATGATTGCCATATTAAGATTGCCTGAATTTTCCTGGTAAAATGGCCTCATTTCCTCCACAAATATCACTAAGGATTCATAGAAATTTGTTTCATGCATCTTGAAGTAAAAATCAGCCTTTGCCCAATGCCCAACAGATTACTTGATGATTTCTCTTCAGACTTGCTTGTTCTAGTGAATGCATTCTCAAAATGCATGTTTGGGTTGAGTACTCTTTTTGATGAAAGTATTAAAGGCAGAGAAGGGTACCAATGTCCTATCTGTAAGACTACCCAAAGAGCCCAAAATGAACTCAAAATGACTGCAATCAGGTCGCATCTACTTGCATATTACGCTCATGTTTAAAAGAATGAGATTGTCCTGCACCGTAACTCATTAGTATTTATTATTTGTATTATTATATTGTATTTGTATTATTTGTAGATAAAATGGCATAGATAATTAAAGGGAATATAGATGGGAAAAAACGCTTTAGCATTTAGCGCTGGCATTACTTTGATGGCTAGAGAAAGAAGAAGAGTAAAAACGGAAATTCCGAATGTTAGGAGTCATTTTATCTATCCCATTAAATATCCTTTAAGATTACATTCAAAGATGGATAGGTTACGAAAAGAAATTTACATGTCCACCTACTCCAGGGCGCACAATGTTTGGTATATGGTGGCCAGTAGTCAAAGAAGCAAAGAGGTAATTTTGGAAATTAAAAAGCTAAATAATACAAATGTCCTGCCAGGTGACCGTAGTGTTCCCATAAACACGTGCTGTACTTGAATATTTTAAACATAAAGCTACCAAATCTCTGCTCAACCGCTATCGATCAAGGAGTATAAACTAATAAATTCACTTAAAATTAGAAAAGAAAAGATCGAAATAATCGGGATGCCTAATGCCCATTGTTCAGATGGAATTCCATTCATTTGGTTTACAGTGCCTTCATGACAGTTGCTTAGAACATGCCTTGATGAAGGTGGAAACAAAGCAAAATCTACCAGAATTAAATCTGTGGGGAACTGCGTGAGAAGCTCAGTCGTAAGATTAGATTTTACAGGGCATTTATTGTGTTAGTAAGCAGCAAAACGAATTTTAAGTGACTAGAGTGATAAGCTTACAGCCACAAGGGAACACAATGCAAATGAAAAGCAGCAGGAGGTTAACGGTTAAGTTAATAAGTTATCTATATAGATCTACATTGGGGGTCTTGTATTTGCGCTTCTCATTATACCAGGCCTGAGCAGCATTTTAGAAAGAGAATATGAACTTTTCAAAAGGGTCTATTCTTAGGAGGCTCTTAGACATTTTGCAATATGTTAACCATACAGTTACCAAACATTTTCCACAATTGCTATCAACTGAATGCCT